GTAAATTAGAGAGTGGAGAAATGGGAGGAGAAATATGCAGCAAAGAAATTAAAACAAGCTTTATAAACTCGGGATTTCTCAGTCACGTAAAAGCTTTACTGTGACATCTCCGGTGGTCGGACGACCATTCCACACGGTGAAGAGAAGCGCAATGGTAAAGAGAGGAGAGAAATTAAGTAGATGAGAGGAGAAAAATGGAGTAAATGAAGCGATTCAAGATTTTGAGAGAGATGAAGGGAAGAGATGGAAGAAAAAGGGATAAAATTAAAAAAAATAATTTTTTGGTCAAACTAAAATGACTTCATTTTGATATATATTTGATTTTTTTAATGATTCAAAACTATTTCATTTTAGTATAAATTGTAATGTCATAACGACATTAATTATTTAATAACAAAATGATAAAAAAAAAGTTCAATGTATAAAATTTAGTAAGTAAATTAAAAAAATCGAAAATTTAGCCTTAAAAAAAGGATGATTGTGACTTTTAGTTTCTTTTAGGGTTTATATCCTCGTGCATTTAGGGCTTAGAGTTTCACGGTTTATGTAATTATATTCAAAATGAAAATGTTTTATAGTAACAGTTCATGTGAGAAAATAATCTCAGTGACCAAAAATGCCTTATAATATACGAATTTAACCAACTTTTTTTAGATTTACCAAAATGGCCAACAAATTCACAACACGATCTCAAATTCGCAACGCGGAAGTCAAATTTGCAACGCGAATTTATAAATCGCAACACAGAAGTCAAATTCGCAACGCGATAGTCAAATTTGCAACGCGAAAGTCAAATTTGTAAATCGCAACACAGAAGTCAAATTCGCAACGCGAAAGTCAAATGTTTTTACGCGAAACACAATATTAATTTCGCAACACAAATGTAAACAGTATTATCGCAAATCATCTCTAACCTAAAACCCTAAAGCACAACTCAGTCCCATCTCCATCTCTCACTCTCTGCGGCGACAACCGTCCCCATCTCCGACGAAATTCGTCCCCATTTCTGACGAAATCCGTCTATCTCCATCTCTCAGATCAACCCTCACAACCATTCACAGTCAGAAATAGAAAATCAACCACCGAGGGTTATATTTTTTAATCTCTTATTTTTATTTTGAATTTTTGTATTATTATTAGATTAACCATTTCACTGAGATTGCTAAATTCATTCGGTTGCTGCCAATACTGCTAAACTGTTTAGTCTTTAACCCTGTGAAGTTAGTATTTGTCTTTGTTTTGTCTTTTTGTTTTGTATTTTTGTTGAAGAAACCCTAAATCGCAACACCAAATTCGCAACGCGAAAATGAAAATCGCAACGCGAAACTAAAATCGCGTTGCGATTTTCATTTTCGCGTTGCGAATTTAAGTTTCAGAAACTTCTTTTATTCTACAAATTGAAACTTGAATAAATTGTATTACTTCAACTAAAAACAAAGACAAATACTAACTTCACAGTGTTGTTAATTTAAGTTTCAATAATAAACTACTACTCTTTATGTTGTCATTGAACATGCACTAAACCTATATGTTGTCATTTTAAATGTTTATATAAGTGCTTACTTCTGGAATGTTATCTGATGCATTTTGTGAACTATGATGGAATAATGACTTGGGTGAATATCGTGCTAGTTTAAAACATATTTGGCTTTGTTTTCACTGTTTAATATCATATCTGTTTGTAGTGTATAATTTGTAGTTTTTGGTATATCTAACTTGGTATGTTTATTATTTTTGTAGAATTTTTTTTGGCTCAATTGACCTTAAGGAATAAATTAAGCATAGCCACTAAAATTGCGTCGACACTTACACCTCTACAAAGAAAATTGTTTGAGGATATTTGCTTCGGGCCATGGCTGAAAGTAAAACATCCGGGTGGAGATGCTATGTTGACACATTTGTTTATTAGACCATGACTAACAATCTACCCGAGGGGGTACAACGTGGTGATGAAGAGATATGGTTTCATTTTCTTCCGACACCGGCGTATACTTGCTTTGGGCAAGAGGAGTTTTGCTTAATCACCGGTCTACGCTTCGGACATGATGATGTAGGCCGGTACACTAGTCATATCTCCCGCCCATCATGGTTATATCGGGTTTTTCCTGAGCTGGCAAAATCGAAGCCGAGTATACATGTCGACGACTTGAAAAGATTATTTGATAAAGATGGTTTTACTCGGATGGATGACCGTGATGTTGTCCGAGTATGCCATTTACTACTTTTGCATGCCGGCTTTTTAGGCAAAGAGGGCAGACAACCAATCTCCGAGGACCTAATATTATTGGTAGAGGACCTAAATGCATGGAACATATTTCCGTGGGGTTCATATATATGGAAAGCTACCTGGAAGAAGTTGTCGTCTGCCTTCGAGGACCGAAAAAGTTTATGGGGCGATGATTCTAAATACACTTTGGCAGGCTTTAAGGTAAGAATTTCTATATAATGTTTCCAAAATTATAATTAATTATTTAACAATTACTAATGTTTGTGTATTATATTGTTTGTAGATTTGGATATTTGAGGCTTTCCCCAGCATGCAGATATATGCGATAAAAAGATCAAATGATATTCCTAGGACTATTACTTGGAAGAGGATCCGCATGTTGGATTGGGAAGACTTACTCCCATATACGACGATTAATGATGTAAGTTAACACACACATACTACCATATATAAACAAGTTATTACTAGTACACGTTTAACTTTGTTTGAGCTTTTATATTGTTAGGAGGCCAACTACCCATTACAGAGGCTGACACCCTCAGATGCTGAGCTTGCCACTAATTGGTGGCAAGTTAGTAAGCGGTTTTTTGATGGGACGGATGATGAGCACCCCCCACTTCGAGAGCCATCACCCCATCGGACCGATTCTATAGCTCGACACCCGGAGCCATCACCTGGTCGAGCCTCTTCTCCACCTCCACCATCACCTATTCCATCACATCATCGAGCCTCTTCTCCACCATCACCTCATGATATACCCCAAAACATTTGTGTTGCGAAACTAAAACATGTTACGAAATTAAATTCGCGTTGCGAATTTGAAATTCAGTTGCGAATTTGAAATTCAGTTGCGAATTTGACTTTCGCGTTGCGAATTTGACTATCGCGTTGCTAATTTGGAATATCACAACGCGAATTTGGAAAATCGCAATGCGATTTACATATTCGCGTTGCGAATTTGGAAGCTGGGTTGCGAAATTGGAATTCGCGTTGCGAATTTGTTGGTCATTTTGGCAAATTCAAAAAAAGTTGGTTAAATTCGTATATTATAAAGCATTTTTGGTCACTGAGGTTATTTTCTCTACTAATAAGGATAATCATATAGGTTAGTCAAGTTGAATTTTTACCCCACATAAATATAATTTGAGTAGGGCTTAACACGAGATTCGAATTTGACGTGTTTTGATCTGATTTGATATTATTGGATTAGATTTTTTTAAAATTAAGTTTCGATCAGGTTTTTTAAATATTATGTTTGGGACGAGTCGAGCTTGGGTTTAGGATGAAAAATATCTTACACTTCCTTACTAGAAAAAAATCATATTTTTACCTTATATATTTATGGATAATTACAATAAGAATATTATATATTATTTTTTAATTAAGTCTCTATTTTTTTATTGAATAAAATAAATTTATATATATATATATATATATATATTATTTCGGGTTAGGATTACAAAGTAATATATGTTCTAAATACTCTAAACCATTTGAGAATGAGCGCTCAATCACTCTTAAAGTCGCTAGTGCTCGAACCCATAACATCTAAAAACAACAATGATTCATTTAATCACTAAGATGATTTGATTCACACATATGATCTAATTTTTAAAATAAAAGTCTATACTTGATTTAATTTGACCCAACATAAACGTGTGTGTATATATATAATTTTTACTTTTTAAGTAAACCATAGATATAAATTTAATGTTATAAATATAAGGGTAAACTACATATTTGGTATCTAAACTATTAGATTCATTTTAGTAAATAAATTTATAATTTTTTTTTAAAAATCATACCTAACGTTTAGTTTTTGCTTGATTTTAGTACCTTCCACTAAAAACTTAAAGCGTTTAGTACCTAAACTATCCGTTTTGGTCCGTTTTAATACATAAATTTTCAGTTTTTTTTTAAAAACTTAACGTTAAATTTTATGTATGATTTTAAAAAATTAAAAGTTTAATTAATAAAACGAACAAAAATTGATATTTAGATAGTAAACGTGTAATTTACCCTAAATATATATAGAAATCAATAAATTTTTTAAATTGATATTGTTTTAAAAAATATATTATTTATGTTTTAATTTGCATTTCAACAACCACTCAATTTTATAATATAACATTAACATGTTAAAATAATTAAATTAATTTGCATTTCCCAAGGTTTAAAACTGGAACGACATGTCTACGTCTTTTTGCAGGGCGTTTGAGCTTGAATTTTGAACAAACAAACAAATTAATAAATTTAAGCAAAAAAGACACTAAAAGTCCCTAACCAATGTCATCATTATATTTTTTTTTCTTTCAATGTGACCTTATAACTCAGAAAATACACTCCATGTGCAGAGGCGGATGTACATTGGTGGCACGTACCATATAAGTCCTCCTGACACGAGGTCTGTAAATTAGTTTACAGATGCATACTTGCCTTATTTCTGTATTATATGGTTTGTATCATCTCCTGGTAGCAGGCTAAATCAGTTCTTGGATTCTATTATTTACATTGTTTCATTTCTGGAACTTTCACAAGAGTTCTTGCAGTTGGGAGCTGCTCCAGTTTGTCCAAGTGCTTCTGCACATTGTGTTGACTACTTGGCCGATCAGATCCTTGAGATTCTCAACTATTTTGGGTAATTTTACAACTCACTTAGCCGGTGTTTTGGTCGAGAAGGGGTTTCTTATCCCAATAAGAGCAGTAGATGTCTTAATCAAAGTTTCGTAGTTAAGATGACTTTGTTTCTGATTGCATCGGGCTTGGAGCAGTGATGTGCACGGGAGTGACAGCGGGTGCTTACATTCTTACACTATTTGCTGTAAGTTTCCTAATGGATCCTAAGAATAGTATTATTTAAATGCTTTTTTATTGTTAGTTAGAGGAAACGTGTTCTTGGGTTGATACTTGTATCCCCTCTTTGCAGAGCACCCTCTTGGACTGAATGGTTCTATAACAAGGTTCCTTTCTTAAGGCTATCGGGTTTTATGCATGAATTTCTCATATATAGGCTAAACTGAAGTATATAACCTGCAGGTGATGTCAAATTTGTTATATTTTTACGGAATGTGTGCATTGCTTAAAGAGCTTTTGCTTCAACGTTACTTTAGCAGGGTACCTAGCATTTCCATCCCATTGATCTATCGTTTAAGTTTCTTTCGTTCTTTTTCTCGTTATATTCGCACTTATAGAGTAGGTTGAACGATGAAGTTTCTTTAAATCGAAGCAGGAAGTTCGCGGTAATATAGAAGTTCCAGAGTCCGATATAGTTCGAGCATGCAGAAGAGTTGGTGCTTAAGCATTTGGTTCTCATTTTTCTTCTTTCCTGAATTCAGATTCTCTACTTGTTTCTTTCCTTTTAAAAAGTGAGTTTTTAATGTCAGCATGGTTCATTCCTCTGGCACGTTTGTTTTCTTAGTTGCTAGATGAAAGGCATGGATCAAATTTGATGCAATTTCTTCAAGCAATTAATGGGTACAATACAAGATAATGGAACTACATTGGACTGTCACTTCATGTTTTGCATATTACTTTCTACATTAAGAAATTTCAAGTGCTCAAAACTTCATCAACATGCAGGAGACCTGACCTTACCGGCGGGCTGAAGAGGCTCGGCTGTCGAACCTTAATAATCGTCGGCGATAGCTCACCATTTCATTACGAGGCCGTATACATGGCATCCAAGTTGGATAGAAGATTTAGTGCCTTAGTTGAGATAGGTAGCACTATTTCTGGAATTACCAATGTAACAGGGGTTATTGTGTTTGGTTGCTGATATGATGTTGAATGATACTTGTCTGTTTTGCTACTCTAGTAGTGTATATTCCTAATCATCTGCAAATCAGAAGTATCGAGTAGTGCGCCAGCCTGCTCGTCGAATAATTTTTGTGTACTTGAAATCAGTGCGTCGAATTTATGACTAATGCGGGTAGGATGCTTGTTTGTGCAGGTGCAGGCTTGTGGCTCAATTGTGACAGAAGAACAGCCACATGCAATGCTGATACCTATGGAGTACTTCTTCATGGGATCTGGGTTGTACAGGCCTTGCTATTTGAGTGGCAGTCCAAGGAGCCCCTTAAGTCCATCTTGCACCTCGCGTCTCACATCTCGCCGGAGCTCCTCTCTCCGGAGAGCTCGGGTTTGAATTTAAAACCGATAAAAACCCGCAGGGCGTCGAAAAAGATCGGTCAAAATTGGTTAATCTTTTTTTTATAAAAAAAATTGGAAAACGAAAATGTACAAGAAGGGTAGAAGCAGAAGCATATAGGGAGGGGAACATGCATGATGTCTCTTCAAAGCTTGTAGATTCATGTAATTCATTCTTTTTGTAGCCATTCATAAAGGAATCATTCTAGTATGTATGCGATATAAAGAGGACTTGTAATTTATTCATGATGAGCATGCAATCATTAATGGACATAAAACTCTGCCGAATATTGTAATACCAATAAACCATATTGGATGAAATTTGTAATTTATCCATTGCAAAATGAGCACTGTAAATTAATTGGATGAAATTGCAAAATGAACCCTGTAAATTACACAAATAAAAAATAGAACCTGAATTGGAACCCTAAAAGGGGGGTCATTAGCAAACGAGTCCACTGATCCCGAAAGCGTGGGTCTTCCTGCTTAGGTAAAGCGGCGTGACAAGCCAAGAGCAGTCCACACATCACAACGCGCCTTTTCATCTTCCATTTTTCTCTCATCGAAGGTAAGGTCCACTTCCTCTGCTTAGATCCACAATTTACTTGGTTTTAGATCGTCTCCCAGCATTCTCTCATCTTTTTATTCGTAGATCTATTGATTTCGGAGCTCGATCAATATCCACAGTTCTTTTATTTTCCATTTCGATGATTCTTTCATCTTGATTTTTCTTTGTGTTTTAATTAACTAGTATCATGCTCTTTTCAATTGTACCGTTTTTTTGTTATCTTTTGTTTTGTATGACATTTCTGGAGAAGAAAAGAGATTTGTTTTTCTTATTGATAACTACTTTCTGTGTTCGATGTGGCGCAGATTTTGATGGCATCAAAATTGCAACAGTTGCAATCGAAGGCGTGTCAAGCGTCGAAGTTTGTGGCCAGGAATGGAACTGCTTACTACAAGCAGTTGCTGGAGGAGAACAAACAATACATTCAGGAGCCACCGACGGTTGAGAAGTGCAACGAATTGTCGAAGCAGCTGTTTTACACTCGACTTGCTAGGTATTCGTTTCTTGCCTCTGGTTATCTGTGTTTCCTTCCAAGTTCTGATGAATTGATAGCAATATGTTGTTTAGCATCTGATTTTTATTAACTTGATTTCCAGAATGTGTCAATAGTTCCTGATTTCATTAGGGACTAGGGATTTACTGAATCTGCCTTCATTGAATTGACTACATTATCGTATGAACAAGATTTCATGTGTGTCAGCCCATGTGATGTGACAATCTAAGTTAGCCGGAATTGAGGGAGTTTATACACACACACACAATCACGGAGGATCATCATAGTCATACCTATGTCCAAATATTAGTCACACACAAATGCTATATCAAAAATGAAGTCCGGGTAATGTAGGCGAGTAAGTTTGTAGTTCTCTTCTAGTGCCAAGAATTTTGAGCCAAGAAAAAAGAGAAAGTGAGACACGACTTGAATTGTTTTTTCATGTCACTTCTGTTGTAGAGCTCCAAGATTTGAGGCCTAAAATAACAAAATGATTTGAATTTCCTCTATTTAACAGATCGATACTGTTATTGGTAACTACAGTAAAGGAAATATGGTACAACTAGTCCAAATATCTATCAAATTGATTCTAGTAGTACTTCTTAGCCATAAGCCAAGCACTAAAATTTTGTTTTTGATAGAGAATTAGAGATGGCTACACACGAGTTTGTTTTATATGGAATTCAGCTGTAAAGATAAATTTTGCAGGGTAACATGTTTTTCATGCTGTCCACAGCTCCCTGTTATTGCAAAGCTAATGCTTTTGGTGCTTTTTATCGATATATGCCAAAACTTTGTGGTTGTTACTAGAGAATTGAATTTATTGGCTTGTTAGATGAAACTGAAAGACCTTGGATGGTCTGCTGGTGGTGCATTGTTGTTAGCTTAGTTGCAGAATTCATTTGTACTCCAAGTACGGGAGGAAGAATGGAGAAACCATTTTCTAGAGAAATTCCTGGAAAGATATCATTTTGTTGTTCCTCTCTTTCTCTCTCTCTGTATGTGGTTTGTCGGCTTACTAGCTTGCCATAAATATGTCAACGATTGAGTTGATGAGAACCTATAAATGAGATTTTTCTTTTTTTAACATCATGGAAATTTCTGGCACCGTGCTCGACTGCATGTGATGCCCTTTGAACTTCTGAACGGAAGATAATTAAAGAACAAAACAAAGTGGCACTCTGCTCCTCCTACCTTCTTGTCATATGCTTTGTGTCATTAGCATATTTATTAGTTTACTCTATGGTCCCAGTAATACTAGGCAAAAATCAGAATCCTGAATGCATATATTTATCAGTTTACTCCTTTTGGTCCAATATTTGCAGTATCCCTGGCCGTACCGAGGCATTCTGGAAGGAGCTTGATTATGTCAAGAGCCTATGGAAGAACAGGTCAGAGCTGAAGGTTGAAGATGCATCTATTGCTGTGTTGTTCGGACTGGAATGCTTTGCGTGGTTCTGTGCAGGTGAGATTGTGGGGAGGGGTTTTACTTTCACCGGATACTACCCCTAAGGACGACCATTTAGCGGAAGTCATTTAAGGGAGTCCTATCGATGTGTATGCCATTTATCATCGTTTGCATGATTGAATTACGGCGATTCTAGATACACATTTTTCCTTGTTTTTGTTGAAATTTTTTGAAGCTGAGAAATCAGTGATTAACTCGATAGCCTGAATATTTTTTATAGTCGAAAACGGCCTATGCTTGGTAAGCCAATTACTGTCGTGTGATCCGGTTATGTAGATAAATTTTACTGCATCCAACCCCATTCCAGGTTTGATGATAATTGTCCAAGTTTGAATATAATAGAGGGGTTAAACCCATAATTTGACCTAAATCTCGCTGCTGACGAAGAGCGTCGTCGTTTCAATGACTTGTAAGGGCTTTCTGTAAAGTTGTAACAATCGTAGGGGGTATTCTGTAATTTCGAACATGATCTAAAAATGGCATCTTGGATGTAAAAATGAAGGGTAAATTACATCGTCACTGATTTTTTAGGATGCTTTCAACTTGGTAACCAAACTCTTAAAACTTTATTATAATTACTAAACTCTTAAATTATTTTCATTACGACCGCTGTCAGTAGATGCCAGTTTTAAAATGAAGGAAAGAAGAAAATAAAAAGAGTACTTCGATGATCTTTTTAACTGAATTGAATAACAACAAAAAGAGAAGCAACAACTATTAATTTTTTTGTATTTTTTAATATGACATGTCAACTTCCGTTAATGATTTAATGACATAACGACCTATTGAAAGTTTGTCTAAATAACAGTTATTTCAATCATAAAAAGAATTCTATTTTGGTGATCAAATTTAAAGTGGTCCAAAATTTCAAAGACTATTAGTGTAATTTACCCTAAAATGAGATATAAGGTCATTTTGTAAACTGATTACATTCTGAATGGGTTAAGTAGAAGTAGTTCCGTTCGAAACAAATAATTCCAACACCTTCCATTCAGCTGTCTGGTCTCGTTTTTCCTTTCTTCTCGATGGACGATCTTCCGCCGTCTCTCGTCGTTGAAATCCTGAGTCGACTCACGGATTACGCCGACCTCGCTCGTTGCCGACCCGCCTCCAAATCACTGAACTCGCTCACCCGCGAGGTCCGTTCCGTTAACCTCCTCTGCACCTTGTCTCGCTATCTCAAATCCCGTTCGCCGGCGACCAAGGACCACGTCACTCCTTTCAAGGCAATCTTTAATAACATCGTCGGCAACGCTCGGTGTCTCGACGCAATCTCGATCGGAGTCGATAAATCGCTCGGGAATATCTCGTACGACGACGTAGATGACGAGTCCGATGATTTGTATCTGACCGATGTGGGGTTCGTCAAGGAGTGGTTGCCCAAGGTTTGCGGTGACCTAGGGAAGCTTTCGATTTCGGATTTTTGGATTCAATCTTGCTGGAGGAAATCTCAGATTTTGAGCTTGATTTCTTCTTCTTGTGAGTTCCTTTAAGGAATTGGAAAATTACATTTGGAAATATATGCATAATTAGTTTGAAATTGATGTTAAAGGAGTCGTTTTAAATCGAATTTCGTGGTTTGATTTGTGTCTAGATTTTGAGAACCGGGGGGTTGTTAATAGGGTTTGTTTTCTTGTGTGTGTAGGCAATTGTCTTATGGAGCTAGAGCTAAAAAATGCTTGGCTCTCGGTTGATGGATTGAATCCTATGACTAAGCTCACAAGTTTGACGCTTGAATTTATTAGACTTGAAGATGAGGACCTAAACAAAGTTAATGATTGTTTCCCTTCTCTTCAAGTTTTGAATTTGGTTGGCGTCGGAGGGCTGAAAGACCCGAAAATTCGTCTCTTGCATCTTAAATCATGCTTCTGGACAGTGTCAAACGCTCCTCTGTCTTTGACTATTGTTGCTCCCAACCTAGTGAAGCTCAGACTGAAGTGTATTAAGCCGAAATCTCTTGTTCTTGAAGCCCCATTGTTGTCCGATTTCTATCTTTCTGTTGAGGAAGCACTCGATTTTAGAGTGAAAGAGTTTCGTAATTTGGAGAACCTTCACCTTGAATCTTCGAGTCTTTGTAGCCTCCTTGACATGTTTCCATCTGGTAAATCAGTTAAGAAGCTGACAGTGAATTCTCTCAAATCGACTGCCATGACAAAATTTCGCTTGGAAGCAGTGTTTGATGTGTTCCCGAGTGTAACCTATCTTAATATAGGTCCGGGGGCTTGGTGTGAAGGTGAGAATTGCTTTCGAGAAGGAGTTTTGGAGGATTGGAATGCGTCGAAGGAGTTGACAGAGATAGTGGCAAATTTAGTTGTGCGTGATATAGAAGTTACACTCTCCTTTATATTCTCGATCTTGGATAAATGCACCAATTTATCAGACATGGCAATACTCTTCCACCCCAAAGGAGATTTTAGAGTTGCTAGTACCCTCATCCCTAGGTGTACAGCTTATCGTCCGGGAGTAAAGTGGAGATGGGGTATATGTGAAGGTTTCAAAGATACCTGGGTCTCTGTCGGCATTTAATCGGGTACTCCTTTTCGGACCCGAAACACGAATGCCTAATCTTTTATGCTCTGTGTGTGTTGTTACCTGGTTTAAATTTAACCTGCCTGCATGACAGTGATGAAGCTTAGAATAAAAGTTTCTTTAATTTTCTTGTATATAAACATATGACTTGTACAAATGAACATAGTTGCTTTGAAGGTGAAAGCATGTCGGATTATAGTATTGCAGACATGTCTGGAATTCAACAACCCGGACTTCATAGCCGGGGCCGTACCATCTTCATCGCTTTGGCGTGACCGAGCGATATAGATGAAGAACAAGAGAGATCGCCCGCTGGGTACCATAGCATCCCGCCTTGTAGCTAGTGTATATTTGTGCTTTCTTTTAGGAATACTCCTGCGGGTTGTATTTTTTGCAAAGCACAGTTTCCTTGAGCAAGTTTATATCGGTTAATATATTGTTTCTGATAAAGACTCATAGTGTTGTTTATTAGCCAATCGGTTCTCATTGTCTCCGTGTCATCCACGTCATTTTCTCTTCTTCTTTTTCATTTCATATTTTTCTTCAAATATGAAAAGTTTTACAGTTTCATTCATGCATCGTATCGACGTTGCAATTATCATTCTGTGGTGTCTTCTCCGATCATTTAAGGTTAGATTTTATCTAAATCATTTTAAAAATAAAAAACCACCACCCTAAATTCATGAAATCTCAAACCACTATAATTTATAATATTAACCATTCGATCAACGTTTAATCAATTTATACAGCTCGCTTTCTTCTTATCTATCTTCCCACATAGAATTTGAAAGATGATGTTTTACCTTTGCGGAACTAAAAGAAATTCAAAATTACAAGTTCTTTTATATAAATAAACATGATTTTTTTGGGGTTATTTTATAAATTTTTAAAGAAAATATACATCCATAAATAGTTAATTATTTAACGATGCAATGATTATTTAACGATGTAATGATAAAATAAGAGTAAATCGAAAGTTTAATAAATAAATTAAACTTTAATAAAAGTGGACCCAAATAGAAGTGGAATAAAATTGAGTGATGAAACTTGTAATTTACCCTGAAAATGGACCAAACGAGTTTTTTAAGGTAAATTACGTGTTTAGTACCTAAACTATCAGTTTTAGTACCTAAACTTTTAATTTTTTAAAAATATACCTAAAGTTTAATTTTTGTTTTATTTTAGTACGCGTCGTTAATAACTTTAGTTTTTTTGTTTCATTTTTGTATCCCGTTCAAAATTTAACATTAAGTTTTGAAAAAATTAAAATTTCAGGCAATAAAAAAGACAAAAAATAATAGCTTAGGTACTAAACTCGTTAATTTTTTTAACGGCGTTGTACTAAAATGAAATGAAAACTAAATTTTGATATGGTTTTGAAAAGAAATGGAAGCTTGGATGTCAAAACGGATTAAAACTGATAGTTTAGATACTAAACACGTAATTTACCCTTTTTTAATACATCACGTGTAATGCACGTGATGATTCCCTCCTCTGTTGTCTCTATTTTGCGCGGCTCCAATGAGTTTATGTATAAATAACCCTAAATCATCCCCCAATTTGTACAACATAATTTCCCGCCTAACAGTTCCTCATTTCCCGCTCTGCAAAACCCTAACCCTCCGTCAAATGGGAAAGAAGCAGCAACATCCCAACGCCGATCAGCTCCCCGACCCCAAGAAAAAACGACGCGTCGGTTTTTCCGGCATCGGTCAGTCTCCTCTTCTCCGTTTTCAGTATTCTACCCCCCAAATTATATTCTGTTTCCAGCTCCACTTCGGATTAATTTCCGTTTTATTTACTTTTCAAAGAGTTCCATTTTTTATTCCGATCGCTGCTGTTTCTTTTTTGTTTGGCCTTGAAGCAGATGCTGGAGTTGAACCCAATGAATGCATTAAGATTTACTTGGGTAAGTTTCGTTTCTTTAATTTGTCTTCTACACTTATAACCTATGTTTTGGGTTTTTCCATATGTTGACGGATAAAAAAGGCTTAAAAATGAAAGTTGAATTTCTTGACTTCGATAACTGGATGCGCTTATTAACTGTGTTAACTGACAGCAAAAACAATGCAGCCATTTAGTTTTGACAAGAGCGTTTTTTGTAGTACTGCTAACTTTTCTTAATTGATGTCAATTTAGTCTCTAAGAAAGAGGAAGTTGGAACTTCAGATGGTTTCTGTATCAATCCGGTTGATTTGAATGGCTTTTTTGAAGAAGATGAGAAGATATATGGTTACCAAGGGTTAAAGGTAATATGCATTCATAATTTGCAGCATATTTGCCTTTAAATATTATTTTGTTCTGATCAATGGTTTGGTGTTGATGTATTATTTCATTTTCCCAGATAACTGTCTGGGTTAACATCATTTCTTTTCATTCACATGCTGAAATTACCTTCCAAGGCACATCTGATGTAAGTAGAAATTTGCATCCTTGACTGTTAGTAGTTTTAATCTCCATTTCAATCATATAGAGTCAGAGAAGCATTTCGTTTTCCCTTTGCATGACATTTTAATGATTTTCAATGTTGATTATTCAGGGGGGCAAAGGGATTACAGACTTGAAATCTGCTCTTGAGGTATACATTATTTACATTGTTTAACTTCAGCTTAATCTCTGATATCTTGAGGCTTTCCTGATTTTATGTCCTCTTTGTACAGAAAATTTTTGGTGAGACTCTTTTGGACAACAAAGATGACTTCCTGCAAACTTTTTCAACTGAGAATAACTTCGTTAGGTATTATTCCATGAAAGCTTATGCGTAATAAAGATATATTGCCCTTTTATCTTAGCAATATTGGCTTTCTATTTTCTTTGCTTATGGTTTTGTGAAGTCAATATGTTACCCTTTTTCAGTTCTGTTGTTTCCCATGGAGAGAAGTTGCAAATGAAAGCTTCCAATGGCCTTATAACTAATTTTAATGGCAATTCAGAAGCAGCCTCTTCTGATCTGGAGGTACTTTTACTATCTTTGCATGAAGTGAAATATTTTCTACTCTAGTAACTTCCATCTTCAATTATGCATGAATAAAGTGTTTGTTTTGTTGCCTGAATATCACCGTTATTACTATTCTAATATGAAATTCCTGTCCGATCCCCATTTTGTTTGTTTTTTAAATTTTGCAATTGACCTGAGTCACCTGACAGCACTAGGGCTTTCCTGATCTTTTGCTATTATCTTTTTGTTAAATTCTTCATTGCTATTTCCCATCTTGTTACTAGTTTCAGTCTCGTTCTGGTCTCATCTTTGTGAGAGGTCTCTTTTTGTGGTATTTGTTTTTGCATTACATGAAATTTTCAAGCATCCAAATTTAATAATGAGTTATTTTTCCTTCTCTTCCTACTGTTATTTCTTTTTTCTATCTTTTTTTCTGTAGGCCCCTTTGGGCAATCATGGGGTTATCTGTTTTATGCTAATTAACATTCTTAGGAGGCTACTGTGGTGATTCTGCTCCTTATAAGTTCAAATCACCACAGAGAGTCCCATGAAGTATATTATAGGGAAAATATTTTAAGAGATCAAGTTACCTTGATTTTAACTTTTTGGTAGGCTAAATTACCATAAAAGCAATGGTAGTGAGCTGCATGCATGCAAATGTTGGGCATGGTTGATTTGCTTTCTTTCTGTGTTAGGTTGTGCGCCTGAAGATGGACAATTTGGCAGCTGGGCATCTTTATAGTCGCTTGGTACCTTTGATCCTTCTTCTTGTTGATGGTATCTGTCACCTTTTGCTGAATGTTAATTGCATTATGCATCTCATTCTTAATACAATTTAAATAATTATATTTTCTTGACTAGGTAGCAATCCTATTGATGTAACTGACCCAATCTGGGAGTTATATCTCTTGACTCAGAAGAAAATTGATCAGCCAGAGAACGCTCAGCATTTATTGCTTGGTTTTGCTGCGCTATATCGTTTTTATCATTACCCTAATGGTTCACGCTTGCGGCTCAGCCAGGTTAACCTCTTTCATTGTTATTATTCATGTTTAGTATCTGAGGTACACTGAATGCAACCCAAAGTATGACTACTCTTCAACAGCTGTTACATGTTAACATTATTTTACTAATCACAAATAGCATTCACTTATGAAATTATTCCTTTTGTTGGCAGATTTTGGTATTGCCTCCTTACCAGCACAAGGGTTACGGCAGCCATCTTGTGGAGGTTCTGAGCAATGTTGCAATATCTGAAGACGTTTATGACTTCACAGTTGAAGAGCCTCTAGATTACTTCCAGCATGTGAGGACCAGTTTTGATATAAAACGACTGCTAGCTTTTGAACCAGCCCAAGAGGCTATTAAATCAGCTGCCTCGCGTCTGAAGCAAGGGAAATTGTCAAAAAAAGCCCATATTCCTCGATTCTTACCTTCTCTTGACATAGTTGAGGAAGTCAGGAAAACTTTGAAAATCAACAAGAAACAGTTTCTTCAATGTTGGGAGATTTTGATATATCTTGGCCTTGATCCCATACAGAAGCATATGGAAGACTATGTGACAATCATTAGTAATAGGGTGAAGGCTGATATACTAGGGAAAGATTCCGAGACTGCAGGAAAGCAAGTAATCGAGGTCCCAAGCGTTCACGACGAGGAGGCGTCATTTGTCATGTTCAGGTCTCAGAGCGGTGAGGCTGGCAGTGTTCAGATGGACGAAGATCAGACAAAAACTCAAGAACAACAGCTGCAGCAGTTGGTTGATGAGAGAATTAAGGAGGTGAAGCTAATTGCAGAAAAGGTGTCTCTAAAACATGTATGAAGGGAACCACTTGGCTTGATGCATTAACCAGGTGAAGCGTATTACTGATAAATTAGTTAATTAGTGCTGTAGGATGTGTTAAATTTGAGGTTTGTTTTGTAAATTTTTTGAGCTGGACTTGAATTTAAACTTATTTATCTTGGAATATTAGATCACTTTTTACGCAGGCTAATTTGAGTATTATGAATTTTGACAGCATATCTGGTGGATAGAATGGCATTTCATGAAATCCAAACGGGATAATATAACATTTGGTACATGTACGTTAACAAAATATCCAATGTGGTATTTACCTTACCTTGATAATGTGTTTGGATTAATACTATTAGTACGTGCCGAATCAGTGAACGTGTAAACATTACAATAAACATTTTATAGATATAGGTAGGGTTGCACATAATTCGGATTTCAATCCGATCCGGATCGGTTTTTATCCGATCCGGTTTTTCCCATAGAAAAAAAACCGGTTTATAAAATAACCGGTTCGATTTCTAACCGGTTTGGAGGGCCGGATATCCTAACCGGTGTAACCGGTTTCGGTTTTAAAAAAACCGGTTATAAAAAAACCGATTTTAATATTCCAGATTGCTCATAGGGAACCGATTCCCCCAAGGGGGTACCGATTCCTCACTGAATGGTTTGGCTCCGAGATTTCCATAATTATCGGAGGGAACCGATTCCCCCATAGGGGTACCGATTCCCCCCTATTCAACGGTCGAAATATTTGAATTTTACACTTAGGGAACCGATTCCCTATGAGAGAGTACCGATTCCCCCACGCTCTAATCATTTTTATTAAATGTTTTCACACTTAAACGGCTATATTATCTTCATTAATTATCACTAACGTTCAGAAGTGATTCAAGGTGTATTTAAGCAAGCTTAGAAGTCATTGATCAAAGACAAGAAACATCAAGCAACTAGAATCAAGAGAGAATCAAAGAGAAAGCATCAAACCTCAAGTTCGATAAATTCAAATACTTAATTGAAATACTTAATTAACTCAACATAATTGAAATACTTAAATACTTTCAAGTTTGATAAATTCAAATACTTAAAAACTTCCAAGTTCGATAAATTCAAATACTTAAAAACTTCAAGTTCGATAATTGAAACAAAGTTTACGATAATTGAAATAAAGTTATAAAATAAACTACATTGCCATCTCTTCTTCATCATCTTCGCCTTCTTCGTTTGGAGGGGATATTCCAAGTTCGACTTCTTCAATGTGTAAGTTTGCTTCCAAATCGGCATCAATTGCATCTTCTAGGGTAGTGATATGTTGCTTACGAGCCGCTCCATCCAAATAATCCTTTAAACAAATGCATACTTCCACCGACTCGGGACTTAGTCTTGATCTCCGTTGTGATATAACCCTGCCACTAACAGAAAAAGCGGATTCCGAAGCTACCGTAGAAGCTTGGACGGTTAGTAGATCACGGGCCATGGCGGCTAGAATCGGAAATTGTGCTTCCTTTTCTTTCCACCAAGCCAAAATATCCAAACTTTCAAACTCTTCAAATGTCATTTTTGATAGAAAATCGCATGACATGTAATTTCCCAACTCGCTACTTGGGGTGGTAGTACGTGATCGTTTGGATTGGGAATTTACAAGAGTGTTAAAAAGATTCAAATTTATGTTACTTGGACGTCTACTAGATGATTCCGCATTCATTCTCATTTGATCGTGTATTACACTACTTGATCCGTATTTAGTTAAATAAATTGCAAAGATGTCTCGAAAACATTTGTTAAAATAATTTATTTGGTTTTGGACAAAGTTGGGTTCATCATCGGTTAGATTAAAAGCAAACGCAATTTGTTCAATTAGTGTTTCAACCCCACCAACATTTAACGTTGGGTTTAAAGCGGCGGCACAAGTAAAAATGGGGGGAATCTCCTTAAAATATTTTAAAAGTTTTTCCTTCATTGCAAAGCCAATTTCTTGAAAAACTTCGGTTTCAAATTCAAAGTCATTTAGTCGGGTAGCCAACAAAAATATTTGATTAAGAACCAACGGGCTAGTAGGGTAATAAACACCGGATAAAAAAGTTGTTGCATTTTTAAAAACCTCAAGCAAATCGGTTATTTTGGCTATAGTTTCCCAACTCGAATCCGGATAAATGTCTGGGACATGACCCCTCTCGAAAAGCCGATCGTAAAATGTTTGCAATGTTTCCCTTTGCCTTAAGGCAGTATGCATCATCATCCAAGTTGAGTTCCAACGAGTTGGACAATCCAAATTAGGACCCAAAGCTTTTTTATTAACAGACTTACAAAATCGTTTATAATCATTTAGTCTTTTGTTGTTGTTACAAAGAATCGATTTTATCATTGTTTTAAATTCTAATCTAATTGGCTCAATAACCTCCAAATCGGCTTGCACGGATAAATTAATTATGTGTGCAACGCAACGGGTATGAAAAAACGCACCGTCTAAAATCGGTGAAAGTAATATTTTCAATCTTGGAACCGCGTTTGTATTATTCGATGCATTATCAAAGGATATAGAAAAAACTTTATTTTCTAATTTATAAAGACAAATTACCCGTTTTAAAAGTGTAAATAAATTAGCACCGGTATGCGGCTCACCGAATAATTCAAACGCGATTGTTCTTTTCATCATTTGCCAATTATCTTGATCTAACCAATGTGACGTAACGGCTAAAAAAGAATTTTCGGTATTATGAGGGGAACTCCAAACGTCACATGTAAGCGACACACCATAACGGTGTTCTTGGAATCTTAAAATCATTTTTTCCCTCGCCGTACGCCACATTTTTATAGCATCTCTTCTAAGGGTAGTACGACTTACTTGAGTATAACGTGGTTGCATTAGTTGTTGAATTGTTGTCGTGAAATCTTCATCATCAAAGTGGTCGAACGGCAATGCTTTTGTAATCACGAACTTTGTAAACGCTTCTCGTAATTTTTCGTTGTCGTAAACAAAAACACCATCTTGCGGTGTAAGATTCGATTGACTAGGATCCGATCTTGAGCGAAGTGCCTTGCATGATTTTGTCAAATGGTTCTTCAACGTTGTGTTTCCTTCCGATGCAAGAAACTTTAGACAAAGTTTACAACGCGCCCTCCTCGAGCCATTTGACATCTCACATAAATCGTAGTGATCCCAAATATCTTTGTTTCGAGTGTGTTCGATCACTCTCACGACTTCAAGGTTTCCCCCGACGGAAGATTCAGCAGTGTTACTCATGATGAATAAAAAAATTACAAAACTAAGATTTGAGAGATGTTTAAGTGTTGTGTAATAAGATTTGAGAAAGTTGTAATCAACCAAATACATCCCCAACCTATTTATACATGTTTAGGATGGTAAAATAGTAAATTTTTAAAGAAAAAACGGTCAAAAACGGTCACAAACGGCTATATTAACGGCTAGTTTTTTAAACCCAGACCGGTTTTTTTTTTCCGGATAAAAACCGGTTTTTTAACCGGTTTTTTATCCGGTTAAAATACCGGTCTGTGTTTTTTTCTCCAAACCGGTTAAAATAACCGGTTTAAAAAAATCCGATCCGGTTAAAAAAAAAACCGGTTTTTCCCAAAACCGGTTTCGGATATTTTTTTCGGATATTCGGATTTTTTGTGCACCCCTAGATATAGGTACTCTATTGAACATTTTATCCAAATGAAAGCGCTAAATGTGATATTATCTATCGATAAAAAGGCATAAGAGGTCTTGTACTTTAAAAGAAAAAATAATAAAATCCTCGTGTTATTTCTCTCTCTCGATGTGATTGTTTCACTCAAAAAATAAACTTGTCCTTTGACCAATTTTTTCATTGTTGATCATTACGTGTCGACGCGACGGTCCATGATGATTGATAATGTAGCAGATAACATGATAGATGAGCTAAATTGAAAACTCAAACATTACAGATGGACTGTTACGTCATTACTGTGAATCGCTACGTCAACATTATAACGGTCAACGACGAAAAACGTTGGTTAAATGATCACATTGAGTTTATTTTCTAAGTTGAAGGGTCGTATTAAAAGAAAAAAATAATATGAGTACTATATTAATTTTTTTAAAAGATACGGTAACCTCTCATACATTTTTGCCTTATCTATTTTTCCCCTCGAGCGGGGCATCTATTTAGATTTCACATAATCACATGGAGGAGGCTAACTATGTGGTCCATTAATATTCATAGAACGTCACCGTTTTATGAAGCTGTATTCTAGCTAGGGTTTTCTCATCTATGTATTTTTACTTGAGCTCTCTTTCGGTCTTCATTCTCTAGTCGGCTCGATTCTGCTTTCCATCAATCCAATCAGGTCAACCGCGCCTTTTTCCCTCCGTTTGGTTTCCTAGAAAACTCAGCGAGAAAGTTTAAAATTATGAAAGAACTGTATTACTATTTCTCTATTTCTGATCTATTTTTGCACTATATGCCAATTTCTGTCGTTCGAGAGTCGGTTTTTGAAGATGACGAGTGGTGATTGAATGCAGGTAAGGGATAACGCAAGAGGGATTGAAAATGGTCGAGAAAACGAGGGGAAGAAAGGAAGAGGTGGTGACCAGAGAGTACACCATCAACCTTCACAAGCGCCTCCATGGCTGGTAACTGATCTTTCCCTCGTAACAGCAAAACACGTTCGTTTTTTTTCTGCTTTGCTTGCCCTTTTCCTTATCAATCTTAGTTTTCTTTGTGGATTTGATTTGATTGTAAACATTGTCTTTTTCTGTATAAACTTGTTTGCTTGATTTATTACTCTTTTCAATATCTCGACGGCGTGTATCATTCACAGATCGAGGTATTCATGTTGTTAATGACTATTGGAGTGAGCTATTAGAGGCATGAATTTAGCTGACTAAGTAATGATTTTTCATGGAGATCAGTAATGGCTCTATAGAGATGAACATGTAAGTGATTGTGAGATTTATGAATCGTGATCCTCGCGATGCATTGTTCAATAAATAAAAGTGATTACATATGCCTCAAGGTGGTGCCGCCGGTTTGAGTTTAATTTTGTGCTCGGAAGCTGTAGGAATGAAATGTTCAATTAAAGGAAAATAATGCTAGATTTAATGCAGAAGTATGTTTCCATATTTTAGTATGATTCTCGTGTTATTTTGGCTGTGATAGCTTTATAGAATAATCGATAACGATGATTC